CTTTAATAATTTATTAGACACATTTGATTTTACCCAAAACGTCTGCACATCTACTCATTCTTATCATCACACTCTTGATTTAGTTCTGACCTATGGTGTAGAGATTAAGGACTTGGTAATAGTTCCTCAAAATCCTATCCTGTCCGACCATTTTTTAATAACTTTGAGTTTACATTAAATGACTACACAGTCACTGAGAGTAAATTTCATCTCAGCAGGTGCTTATCAGAAAATGCTGTAACCAAATTTAAACAATCTCTTCCATCAATGTTTCCTCTGTCTTGCAATGTAATGCATCAGAGAACAGTGACTTAGATCATCTAGTTGATCATCTTACAACTTCAATGCAAACTTCACTTGATAAAATTGATCCAATGAAAAAGAAAGTAATCAATCAGAGGAAACTGGCTCCTTGGTTCAATTCTGAGTTATGTACTTTAAAGCAGGCATCTAGAAACCAGGAGAGAAAATGGCGCTCTACTAATGTTGAAGAATTTTATTTAACTTAGTAAAGATAGTCTGCTAACATATAAAAAAGCTCTCCGTAAAGCTAGAACTTTATATTATTCATCTTTAATAGAGGAGAATAAAAATAACCCTAGGTTTCTGTTTAGTACTACTGCTAGACTAATTAAAAGTCCCATTTCTGTTGAACCATGTGTCCCTACAACTATAAGTAGTGATGACTTCATGAGATTCTTTATAAATAAAATTATTTCAATTAGAGAGAAAATTCAAACCATCCTTCCTTCTACTATCTCTAGTCCCCTGTCAAATGAGACAACTTTAAAAATTTCACTAGAGCCTGATTTATATTTGGACAGTTTTTGTCCTGTTGAGCTCTGAATTGTCAAAAATAATAACCTCATCCAAACCATCCACATGCCTGCTAGATCCCATCCCAACCAGACTGTTTAAAGAGGTATTTCCACTAATTAATGTCCACATTTTGGATCTACTTAATTTGTCTTTAATGGATGGTTAAGTACCACAGAACTTTAAGGTTGCTGTAATTAAACCTTTACTTAAGAAGTCTGACCTTGATTCAGAAATTCTGGCCAACTATAGACCTATATCTAATCTATCTTTCATCTAAAAAATTCTAGAGAAACTAGTTGCAGGTCAGTTGCGTGAACATCTACAAAGAAATAATCTGTTTGAAGAGTTTCAGTCAGGGTTTAGAGCTCATCATAGCACAGAAACAGCACTAGTAAAAGTAACTAATGATATTCTCATGGCCTCAGACAATGGACTTGTGTCTCTACTGGTCCTGTTAGACCTCAGTGCTGCATTTGATACAGTTGATCACAATATTTTACTACAGAGGCTTGAATATGATGTTGGGATTACAGGAACAGCTCTACAATGGTTTAAATCATATCTATCTGATAGATTCCAGTTTGTAAATGTAAATAATAAATCTTCTTCATACACCAAAGTTAGTCATGGAGTTCCTCAGGGCTCAGTGCTTGGGCCAATACTCGTTACTTTATATATGCTTCCATTAGGTAACTAAGAGGAGACTGCAACGAAGCCAAGATTCAACTTGTCTGCTGGATTCCTTAGATAGAGAACTTTACTAATTGGCTTTTATGTGAATGTTCCTGTAAAGTCCCTGAGACAACTTTGTTGTGATTTGGCACTATATAAATAAACTGCATTGAATTGAGTTATGCAGATAATGTCACATTTTATTTGCAGGATCCAACACATTCCTGTAGTGGAAGTTTAGATGCACATTTAAAGACATGTGATTTAAATACAGGCCAAGGCATGTCTCCATCTACTCAGATAACTAATTTTGTTGTTGTGGGTGTCTGATTCTGTGGCTGTGATCATCTCCACCAGAGGAATTCTTCTTGGCACAATTATAAAGTTCAGTCCCCCTGGCAATGATCTCTGTCTCTGGCTGGGTGGTCTGTTGGACAAATTCTTCACCCATTTTTCTGTTTCCCTGACTGTCTACCAATGTGTTGTTTCCCTGCTCACACAAGATACTTGAACATGTCTTCCTTTGATACTGTTTTGTAAATTCTATAACATGTTTTTAATGCAAAGCGAACTGTTGTACAACATTTGTTGTACATTTATTCAAATATAAGCATCAGAGACATTTTGAAATGTTCATTATGTTTAAAAATCAAAATAAATTTATGATTATTCTGATGCTGCTCAATAATCCAGGTAGAAAAATCTAAAAGAGTTAAGTCAGGTCCTCTGGACGGGTTCAAAAACAAAAAAATGTAGAAATGTTCCGTCTTTCATCTGAAAGACTTCTTCAGTCTGAGGAGCTGTACTAAGCTCAGCCTTATAAATAACACCTTCTCATAATGGATTGATCATGTGAACAGCTAGTTTCAATGTCAACAACAAACTGGTTGATCCACTATGAGAAGGTTCTATTTAAAAGACTGAGCTTAGTACAACTCGGATTAAAGACAAAACATTTCTACCATTTTATTTTTTGAACCTGTCCAGAGGACCTGACAACTGTTTTAGAAATTGATGATTACATTGTACTGTAGTCCCTCACTATATTGCAGTTCACTTTTTGAGGCTTCACTATGTCACGGGTTGTTTAAACCCATTTTTTTATATTGTGTGTCCTGTACATGCTTTGCACATTCATCTCATGGTCATCATCTTCATCACAATCGCCAAAGTGTTTAAGAGCATACAAAGTGTTAATAAGAGAGTGGGAAAAGTTAATAAGAGTGTGAGAAGGTGCCTTAAATATATAGAAATAATAAAATAACTATAACGCCGCTACTTTGCAGATTTTTACCTACTGCGGGGGTCTCTGAAACGTAACCCCTGCGATAAGTGAGGAATCACTGTACTTTGGTTTCTAAGTACAGTATACCCACTAAAAAGTGTAGACTAAACCACTGCCTGATCCTGGTTCTGCTAAAGGTTTCTTCCTCATCAGGGAGTTTTTCCTTTCTACTGTCGCCTTCATGCTTGTTCAAGATGAGAGTTCAGTGATGGAGTTAAACTCAAAGCTGCTCCTCAGATAAATAATGTCAAGTTATTGAATATTTCTTTTCAGTCCCTGAGACGACTTCTGTTGTGACTTGGAGCTTTAGAAATAAACTGAACTGAACTGAAATAGAACGTTTTTAAGTACAGTGAGTATAGGCGTACCTTTAAGAACTGGGCCTCACTGGCTCCTAAATGGCTGAAGGAAAAAAGGCTATTTGGGAATCGAACCCGAAGTGTTAGACTCATGAATCTCTAACCAGAATAATCACTGTGAAAAATCACATCATGTTGCTGCTGATCTGTTTCATGTTGCTGCTGATCTGTTTCATGTTGATGTGTTCATTCGTGCTCATCTGCTCACAGACTCATGTTCATGCTGCTGTTCGATGTATTGTTTTTATGTTATGAGTGCTTAGTGTATTTTTAGTTGATGTTTTTCTTAGTTCATATCTTAGATGTTATTACTGTTTTTCTTTTACATTTTATTGTTGGATGTAACTGGGACCCTGTGGACATAATTTAAAAATACACAGCGAGGAAAACAAGTATTTGAACACCCTGCGACTTTGCAAGTTCTCCCACTTAGAAATCATGGAGGGTCTGAATCTTTCATAGGTGCATGTCCACTGTGAGAGACATAATCTAAAAAAAAATCCAGAAATCACAATGTATATATTTTTTTAAATAATTTATTTGTGTGTTACTGTTGCAAATAAGTATTTGAACACCTGTGAAAGTCAATGGTACAGTATCTTTGTTTGCAGTTACAGAGGTCAAATGTTTCCTGTAGTTAGTCACCAGGTGTGCACACACTGCAGCAGAGATTTTGATCCATTCCTCCACACATCTTCTCTAGATCAGCCAGGCTTCTGGGCTGTCACTGAGAAAGATGGAGTTTGAGCTCCCTCCAAAAACTTTCTATAGGGTTTAGGTCTGGAGACTGGCTAGGCCACTCCAGAACCTTGATCTGCTTCTTACGGAGCCACTCCTTGGTTCTCCTGGCTGTGTGCTTCAGGTCATTGTCATGTTGGAAGACCCAGCCACGACTCATCTTCAATGCTCTCACTGAGGGAAGGAGGTTGTTCCCTAAAATCTCTCAACACATGGCCCCGGTCATCCTCTCCTTAATACAGTGCAGTCGTCCTGTCTCTTGTGCAGAAAAACACCCCAAAGCATGATGCTTCCACCCCCATGCTTCACAGTAGGGATGGTGTTTTTGGGATGGTGCTCATCATTCTTCGTCCTCCAAACACGGTGAGTGGAATTAAGACCAAAAAGTTCTATTTTGGTCTCATGTGACCACAGAACTTTCTCCCATGACTCCTCTGGATCATCCAAATGGTCATGGTCAAACTTCAGACGGGCCTGGACGTGTGCTGATTTAAGCAGGGGAACCTTCCGTGCCATGCGTGATTTTAAACTACGACGTCTTAGTTTATTACCCACAGTAACCATGGAAACAGTGGTGCCAGCTAATAAAACAAAAATGTTCAAAAGAGTTTTATGGTAATTTGTTTTCCACATTTTAGCTTTTGTTTCAAGAACTAGTAAAAATAAAACTTTAAATTCTCAGTTAAAATTTGATTAAAGTTATGAAAGATTTTATTTCAAACAAAACCAGACAAACTTATAAAAACGATTATTTACCAAACAAACATTAACCGGTTCAGATCTAGAACTTTAAATTAGAACATTTTAAAATGTTTCTGAAAAACAAAAAACAAAAATAGGAAAATATATATTTTTTTAAATCATAAAATGTTTGAAACTATTTTGTATTTAAAATCAAGTTTTTATTTTTCTGTCCATCTTTTGGTTCCGAACCCTGTTCGGTTCCAGTCCTCCTCCATCTCTAAGCCCCGCCCACAGGGGCCCGGAGGGATAGGGCCGGCGGGTCTGGACTTTTCAGCTTCATAAAGGGACCGGACCGAACCAGACCGGACCGTAGGACTGAAGGAAGACCAGAACGGTGGGGTAGACCGCATCCAGCAGACCGAATCGGGCCGGACCGGGACATCATGTCCTTGAGTCCAAAACAGTCTAGGTTCTCAGTCTCGGACCTTTTGGGTTCGGCTGAAGACGGCTACAGGAGGTTTGGGGGGGTGGACCTCGGAACCGCGCTGGGCGCCTACCGGCAGCAGCAGACAGGGATCCAGAACCACCAGAACCATCAGCAGCCTCATCTCCACCACCTACCTTCATCCTGTGCTTCTCTTGGACCCACCGGAACCGGCCACGCGGCCCAGTTTTTTGGAACCGTAGGGGGTTTCTGTAACGGCGGCACTGGAACCGAACTGCAGTCCCATGAGCCCGGGGCCGGGTCGGCCTGGTACGGCGGTCCGGAGCCCAGATTCTCTCAGAGTAAGAACCCGTCAGAGCATCCGAACCGGACTCGAACCTGAACAGAACTCAAAGAAAAAAAATTATTAGGCTAAAAGTTTTTGATTTTCAGATTTTTTTTATTTATTATTAAAATAAAATAAATAAGAAACAGTTAAATTATAATTTCATTTTTTATTTTTTAACGAAAATATTTTGTAAATTTAATTTTAATGGCTTATTTTAATTTGATTAGTTTTTATTTTTAGGCCTTGAGATGATTTTATTTGAACAAACATTTAAATTGAAATAAATACAAAAATAAATAAACAGATATAATAAAATTAATGAATATAATCAAAATTGGCAACTATAGTAAAATAAATGAATATAATAAAAATTAACAAATACAATAAATATAAATATAAAATCCTGATGCTGTTGTTTGACGCATTGTTTTGTACTATTAGTGCTTATGTATTAGTTTAGTATATTCTTAGTTCATGTCTCGGATCTTATACTGTTTTTCTTTACAATTTGTATTTTTGTTGGATGTAACTGGGACCCTGTGTACACAGATTCGTTCCACCTCATGTACCACATGTCATGTGACAATAAAAGAATCTTGAATCCTTGAATAAAAACAGAATTTTATTGAAACTGTTTTTCTAATCAGAAAAGTTTCACCCAAAAATATTTAAAATGTGTTAAAAATTTCCTGAAATAAAATAAAAACAATGCAGCCTGGTGGATGAGTGGGTGCTGCTGCCTCTCAATAGGTCGGTGGTTCAAATCCCAACTGGGAACCTTTCTGGAGTTTTCATGTTCTCACAGTTCTGCGTGAGTTTCCTCCCACAGATCAAAAACATGTTAGGCTGATTTGTAACTCTAAATTGTCCCCACGTGTCCCTGTTGGACTGAGACCTGTCCACGTGTCCCTGTTGGA